TAGAATCTGATCTAATGGAACATTGGTTGCGATCCCCGTCCATAATTGATCTTACAATATCCTTGACACTTTCTATGAAATAGGTATTCATCCGATCTTATTTTTTCACTCGTTATTACCCCATCGTCGAACTTCATTTTAGATAATGTATTTCTTCTAATAGGAGAACCAATTTTTTTTCAATGTTTTCCACATCTGTTTACTATTATTTTTCTGTCATCAATTTTAGTATTGTAATATTTTTTTTTTCATCTCGTACAACTGCTACAGATTGGTTGCTTAATTTTGGGTAGTCTAGCCAGTCATTTTCACTCCCAGTAATCATAAACTTGTTATAATCGTAGTCTCTTTTTAATTTAGAATTGTTGAACGTCGGGTGTTGGATTTTTCCTTTTATAGATTGTTGTCTTCTTTCATGCACACAGCAACATTATCCAATAGGCTTGCATAGAAGAGCTGACTTAGTGGAGGAGTGAGAGAGAGAGAGAGCTGTTAATATTCATCATTGTAGATACTCCATCGCCGCACGCCGAGTGAGAATTAGGTTTAGTTACTGCGTACGCGCACACGTTTTACGCACGATTATTATTTTCGAGTTTCCCAGTTCATTTCGAGTAGTTTCTTTATCATCATGGCAGACGCAGAAGATCCGCCAGGACCTCGCCATAGCGAGCCCTGGCAAACTTTTACAAATGAAGAATACGTAGACATAATGTTCTGTTATGGACTTTGTAACGGCGATTCTGCAGCTGCCCGCCGTGAATATCGGCAACGTTTCCCGAATCGCCGAACACCTCATGTTACTGTGTTTGACTCTGTGTATCGACGCATCCGCCAAACCGGACGTGTTCAAAGGCAACATGTGATGCTGGTCGACCCCGAGTCTATCCTCCTGAAAATGAAGAGGAAATCCTTCGTGTGTTTCAGGAAGACCCTACTACGTCTACGCGCATTGTGGCTGCTCAGTTGGGTATATCACAATACAAAGTATGGTTTACTGTGCATACTGCAAGATTATACCCTTACCACTACACGCCTGTGCATGTGATTGAAGAGGGCGATCCTGCACGACGATTAGATTTCTGCAGGTACATGTTACATGCAGATACAGAAGATACAGACTATTTTAAGAAAATTCTGTGAACCGATGAATCGAAGTTTGGTAAGGACGGGATCACTAACTACCACAATGCTCATTACTGGGCTGATAAATAAGCTTTAAACCCCCGAAAAATAAGACCGACGGGGTCTCAGAGCCAGTTTTCAGTCAATGTGTGGATGGGCATTGATGGATATTTAATTGGACCTCATTTTCTGCCCGCCAATTGAAATGGAGAAGCGTATGAAGAGTTCTTGAAAAATCACTTGTTTCCATTAATGGAAGACGTCTCATTGGCGACGAGACAAAATATGCGGTTCCAGCACGACGGCTGTCCGGCACACTACAGTAGATTAGTACGGGCGTATTTAGACTCCAAATTTCCAAATCAATGGATTGGCAGAGGCGGGTCCATTGCCTGGCCAGCAGGAAGCCCAGATCTCACACCGATGGATTACCATGTATGGGGACATATGAAAAGCCTGGTGTACGATGTTTCGCCCGTACCAACGCGCGATGAATTAATTACAAGGATAATCAGTGCAGCTGATCAAATAAAAAGCCGCTTATCAACTAGAGTTACCAAAAGTGAATTACGTAAGAGAATGCGGGCGTGTATTCGTAACAGGGGATTACAATTTGAGCAGAATCTGTAAAATACTAAAGGAAATAAAACTGTAATTAAAATAAAAGCCTTTTATTTATCCTACTTAATTATCGTTCGTACAACTTTACTCATCTTTTTTTAGTTTTATGTCTTTGTACTTGAGTTAGTTGTAACTTTTATACCTCAAATGAAAGCTTGTTAGAGATATTATTTACATAATTTGCACATTTTATTACTAGGAGATTTTTTACAGAAAATTGTATTTTTATCGAATAAGTTAGTAAAAAAATAAGAAAATCATACATCAAAAGCGTAATTTTAAAATTTTTGTAAGTTTTCAACATTTTATTACTTATTATGAACTATTGGAATGTCCGCTATGTGACGATAGCAAAAAACTCAAAATCAAACATGTAGTTTTTTTGTATTTCAAATTTAACTGTCTGAAATCGGAATAAAAAATTAAAAAAATAAAATTCAAATAACTCAAAAACGGTTAACTTCTGGATAGGACATTATAGGACAAAATCGGTTCCTTTTGACCTAATCTATCACCCCTTAACAGGAATACGTGACATTACAAGTTACCCTGTACTTTCAACTTCAAAACATATCCATGAATTGTCTCTGCCTTTAGGAGTACGCATAACTTTTGCAATTAAATTTTGTTCGTTCGTTATTATCAAGTCTATAGTTGCTCTTGATTGATTGGTTATTTTGGTGTGGCAGTAGTAACTAACACGGTTGACACGGAAACAGATTATTGATACATTTTCCATCTTTTGTTTGCTCATAAAACTATTTCTATTTTCGTTGGGACACCATATACAGGGTGTTTCAGTTTATTGTTGCATAACTTTAAGATTCGATAGAACTTTTAAAATTAATGCATAAAGTCTATATAAACATGGGTCGAAAAATGCGTGGCTTCCGAAATACAGAGTGTTTAAATTTACTTTCTAAAATAGTTTTTTTTAAATATTTCGAACAATATTTGATGTATAACAGTGAAAATTGGTATACAAGGGTTTTTTTGGTACGACAAAACGAACCATGGGCATAGTTTTACTGTAGCCGCTAAATTTTTCCTTTTTCTTAGTGCAATTTTTTGCTTTTTGAATAAAAAAACTGGTTCTTCGCACTTTTCACCATAAAAAAACTCTCTTGTGAATTTTCGTTGTAGTTAGCCGTTTTTGAGATATTTCGATTTTTAAGGTTCGATGCATTTTTAATTATTTATGATAAAATAACGTTAAAAAGTCAGTATCTCGATAATTTTTAGAAGTAGGTTGTGCCTGCAAATATTTTTGAAATTGAAAGCAGAATAAGGTTAAACGTCAATTAGTTGACAGTTAGTTTTGTTGTCTGTTGAAACCTGAAACGTTTTTTTGCAATTGTGAATGCACGAAATTTAGTTTCTTTTACCTGTTTTTTTTGTAAGTTTTATAAAAATGCCATTTTTATTCTCCAATCAAGAGTTAGCGGATATTCATTTTGTGTATGGTTTTGTAAATGGAAACGCAGCAGAAGCAGCCAGAGAATACGCACGAAGATCTCCAAATAGACGACATACAACTCGCTCAGTATTTGTAAGAGTGCATCTCGAAATAATTGAAAATGGTTTTGGAAATTTTCAAAGGGATCAAAACATAAATGTTCGTCAGCGCAGATTTACCCGTATGATTCTGCATGAGTTTGATAGAGATCCGACCACAAGTGTTAGGAGAGTTTCTGGTGCCTTGGGGATTTCAGCAAGCCATGTTCACTGTGTTCTTAGAAATGACTATAGACGTCCTTACCATTTGCAACCTGTGCAAGGACTACAGCCAGGGGACGGAGAACGAAGAATCACATTTTGTCAGTGCATTCTTGATAGAACTGATAATAATAGGGAGTTTTTAAGTAACGTTTTATGGACTGATGAGTCATGCTTCACTAGACGTGGAGTGGTAAATTTTCATAATCAACATATTTGGTCGCATGATAATCTGCATGCAGTTCGGGAAAGAAGAAGATATTGTCAGCATGAATTTAGTGTGAACGTGTGGATTGGTAACTACCGTAATCGATTATTTAGACCCTACCTTTTGCCTGTAAGGTTAAATGCTGCGACCTTCTTGGAATTTTTAAAGGCTGAACATGCAAATATGTGGGATGATGTTATGTTAGATTTAAGAAGATTAGCCTGGTTCCAGCTTGATGGTTGTTCAGCTCATTATTCGAGAATAGTTAGAAACTGGCTGGACGAAAATTATCCAGAAAGATGGATCCGGCCGTGGAGGACCAGTCGCCTGGCCTCCACGATCCCCTGACCTAAATCCATTAGATTTCTTTGTGTGGGGATTTCTAAAAGAAAAAGTGTACCAGACTCCCGTAACCACAAGAGATATGCTAATAGACAGAATCAGGAATGCATGTGATGAAATATGGCCTTATTTGAATAATGCTATACCACGTTCGATCAGTCGTAGATGTGAATTGTCTATTGAACAGTTAAGTTTACATTTCGAGCAACTACTTTAGATTTTGTATGTTTGTCCTAACTATCCAATAGCATTTTAGTTGTAAATAATTAATTTAAATTGTTAAAAATAATATTGGGTAATTAAACAAATTAATATTCTGTTTTTTTTGTGTTTATTTGGAGTTAGGAATTATTGCTGTGTTTAAAAACACAATCTAAGCGATCATCTTAATTACTTGTAATGCCCAAATCGGAAATGTAAAAAAAAATATTATTTTCCCATAAATAATTAAAAATGCATCGAGCCCTAAAAATCGAAATATCTCAAAAACGGCTAACTATAACGAAAACTCACAGGAGAGCTTTTTTATGTTGAAAAGTGCGAAGAATCAGTTTTTATATTCAAAAAGCAAAAAATTGCACTAAGAAAAAATTTTCGGTCATTTTAATACACTACAGGTACAGTAGAGAGCGCCCTCTAGCGGCTACAGTAAAACTATGCCCTTGGTTCGTTTTGTCGTACCAAAAAACCCTTGTATACCAATTTTCATTATTATACATCAAATATGGCTCGAAATATTTAAAAAAAAAGCTATTTTAGAAAGTAAATTTAAACACCATGTATTTCGTAAGCCACGCATTTTTCGACCCATGTTTATATAGACTTTATGCATTAATTTTAAAAGTTCTATCGAATCTTAAAGTTATGCAACAATAAACTGAAACACCCTGTATATTCTTTGTTTCGGTAGAACCTGTAGAACAGGTGCTTCTTGGAAACAAATACTCAAGAGAAATTTTCATTTTTACATCGCTGCTTTTTGTTGCAGGAACATGGGAGCTCGGCTGGATCCTATGCGACATATGGGTCTCTCTGGACATCCTGTTATGTACAGCTTCGATTCTAAGCCTGTGCGCCATCAGCATCGATCGGTATTTGGCCGTCACGCAGCCCCTAAGATACTCCAGGAACAGGAGATCCAAGAGGCTGGCATTCGGCATGATCCTCGTTGTTTGGGTTAGCTCCATGCTTATATCCTGTCCTCCGATATTCGGATGGTAAGTCAGTATGTGTTCTGTTTATATAATTTCACTTACACGTATAAGTAAAATAAAAACTATGATGAAAGGTATACAATAGCTGTGCAAACTTCATGTCTCATTTTTACTTGCCACACCTAATTAAGTTGGTTCTAGGCTCTAGTGAACTATTAATAATAATAATAATAATAATTTATTGGTACTTTTACACAAAAATGTGTTTGCACAGGTCAGTTAGAGTAGAACATAAAAGAGTAAGTAAAAACAACAAACAGTACGAAAATAAGACAAACGTAAAACACAAAGTGATAAAACCGAGTTTAAAATTTAGATAAACCATAAAATAAGATGGTTAAAAAATTATGAAATAGTAATAATTGTTTCATGTTTGTACTCAAAAGTCCTTACACATGTCTGGAGAGCAATAAAATGTAATGCAAAAATATCGTCGGCCACACATCCGCATGCGAACGCCGTCGCGCCGATAACGCGCGAACTTGCAACCGTCGTCCATACACCGCCATCTTTTTTTTTTTTAACGCTCCCAACATTTTGACTCACCCTGTATACAACCTTCTTGACTCTCCCTGTATACACTACACCTCACCTTATCGGACACACATCCGCATGGGAACGTCGTCCATACACCGCCATCTTTTTTTTTTTTAACGCTCCCAACCTTTTGACTCACCCTGTATACAACCTACTTGACTCCCCCTGTATACACTACACCTCACCTTATCGGACACACATCCGCATGGGAACGTCGTCGCGCTGATAACGCGAACCTGCAACCGTCCATCGGCTGTTTTATCTCACTTCCGCTGTGGAACTCTCTTAGCTTTACTACTACTAGATGTTATTCGTTTCCCGGTTTTGTTCAAAATTACTTTCTGTCTTCTATTACAGAGACCAGATTTAAGCCAGTAGTACGCATTCCCGCGTATACCATATTTATATAATTTGTATAGCAATATTTCGTGATCAATGCAATCAAATGCTTTTGACAGGTCCACAAATAAACCACATGCTGCTCCTTGATTCTCTCGATATTCATGGATCGTTGTGGTGGAATCGAACAGTACCGTGTTCACATCTCTACCTTTCATGAAGCCATGTTGGTTATTGGTGAAGTATTTATTTGAGTGAAAAAAATTATTAAGACGGTTGTTATAAGCAATTTCAAAGATTTTACAAAAATTTATCAGTAAGCTAATAGCAGCGGTAGTTGTCCATATCATCAGGATCGCCTTTTTTATAGATTGGTAATACGAGTGCAATTTTTAATGCTTCTGGAAATTCTCCTTCACTAAGAGATGTATTTAGGATATTAAGAAGAGGGTCAGATATATATATATATATATATATATATATATATATATAGATGAAAAATTAAAGCTTCCGCCTTTTGTTGGGTACTTCGACAAAATTTAAGCAAAGAGGACTCTTTATACTTTTTTAATTCTCTCTAGCTTTCAATGGACTTTGCCATCATCATCAGGAGCTGCAATTACAATGATAACAGTAGCAACAAAAGTGTAAAATGAATTTAAATTGACTCAACTTACAGTAGTATGTGAGGATGTTGCTAATTGTTGTTTACGTATAGGATGCTGAAATTTTGTCGAAGTACCCAACAAAAGGCGGAAGCTTTAATTTTTCACCTAACTGGTCTAGACGACACTGACCACGTCTCAAGTTATATTTATATATATATATATATATATATATATATATATATATACCAACCAGATCAACAAAGCTCCGCTTGTTCACTTCTCAGCCAAATTTTGTTGCGGACTGGTACAGAATTTAGACTCTAGACTAGACCATAAAAGACTAGACTATACCTGTTCCAACAGAAATAAGCGCACAGCGTTGCTGTTGGTGGGCGAGTAGTCGCTATACTCTGGGCGCTGAAGAAAGACATTAAACGTAAACAGTGATCAGCACGTGAACAGATCCCTCGAAAGCATCCACGGATATACTCCAGTCACTTTAGGTCTAAACATCCTCGGCAGTGTATTTCTAGTGAATCCACAGACCCTTTTTCGTGTCATCTTGAGACTAGAAAAAGGATGACTGTTAAAATAAGTTACCTTGATCTTTCATGAGCTCCCAGTACAAAACATCATCGATATATTTTTGATGTAGGAACAACAAATTGGTTTAGAAAACATCCACTTTGAACCTAAATTGACTGGAGTAACATCGATCTACAGACAAATTCAAGGTCACTAGCAGTCGTCGGCGCTCTACGAATCTGCACAGGTTTGGACTTGTAAACGTGATTGTAGATGACACGACAGGCATCTAACAGTTAATTCACGCACAGGATTGCATTGCATACGCATTACGCATTCAGTAGCGTATACTCGTTTTTCACGAGTGGAACGTTTTGTTTATATATTGCCTAAGATACGATGTCTGACACAGATACAGCCGACGAAGTGGTTGACATCAGCGCAACCCCACCCAAAAAAAGGGCTAAGAAGCTACATTTAAGTGCAAATGAAAAACAAATAATATTAAATATATACAAAAACCAAATTCAAGAAAAACCCGATTTGGTCGTGGACGAAGTTATATGTAAGGTAGCACATATTGCTGGAGTATGTCGGTCCAGTGTTTATAGGATCATTAAGGAATATAGGAGCACTCACTCACTTTCTGAGCCAAAACCGTATCCTGCAAGAAAAAGGATAACGGACGGATTAGATGACTTTGACAGAACTGCCATCAGGAGGAAAGTGCATAATTTTTTCTTCCGAAATGAGATACCTACAGTAGATAAGATATTAAGATTAGTTAATGCTGATGAGGATCTTCCATCATTTAAAAGAACCACATTCCGAAAACTTTTGAGGGAACTTAATTTTCGATTCTTGAAACGGGGAAGAAACAGTATGTTAATAGAGAAAGAAGAAATTGTTGTATGGAGAAGGGAATACCTTAGGAAGATTCGGAAGTAACATCATCAAGGCAGGCTTTTCTAGGCGGTCTTTCGGCTGGATTGAAAAATCCTGCAGGTAAGCTCCTTCATCTATCCGGCAATTTAATTTTGATAAATTCGGGCAAATAATATGCTGTGATAGCAGATAATGTGTGATATTCTCCAAAAATGGTGCATTCGCAGTGTAGTCATTAGGAAAAAAACTTCGACCCTCTTTTAAGCGTTATTTTGAAATTTATTATCATTTTTGGGTGCAGTCAATTTGCTTTGAATGGGTTTTGAGAAGTTGCAAACTTCAATTTTCTACGTTTTTCAGTTTTTGATCAGCATTCCGTGACTCTTAAATTCAGCTAAATGAACTCAATTGCCTCATTCCTTCAAATTTAATCAATCCATAGTGTAAGGAATAATTTATTTCCAGGAAAAGGCAAACGGCTGATCATTTGTCACGTAGGTAGTGAAGACGGCTTTGTTCCCGAAGCACTGTGGGCCTTTGAATCAAAAAAGACAGGGGACTATCATGAGGAGATGGACGGCAATTCCTTTGAAAATTGGTTCTCCAAAATGTTACTAAAGCTGGAGAATAACGCTGTTATTGTACTGGATAATGCCCCGTACCATTCTAGAAAAATAGAAAAAAATCCCACAATGGCAACTAAAAAAGCAAACATACAACAATGGCTGGCCTCAAAACAGATCGATTTTGATGAAACAATGGTCAAGGGTGAATTGATAAGTATAGTCAATAGACATAAATACAAATACGATTTTAAAAAGATCGACGAAATGGCCAAAAAACAAAATAAAACTGTCTTGAGACTGCCACCCTACCATTGTGAGCTGATTTGGGCCAACATAAAGCAATACGTGGCGTCGAATAATAATACTTATAAATTTTCTGATGTTAAAAATCTCTTTCACATCGCAGTCAATAGAGTTACGGCAGAGGAATGGAAAAACTGTATCCGCCACGTTCGGGAGAAGGTTGAGGTCAAAATGTGGGATTTGGACAATGTCATCGATACCCAAATTGAACCTCTAATAATTCATTTAAACGATTCAGAAGATTCAAGTTCCTCTTCTGAATGAGTGCGCGCAGCTTACTTACTAATAACTAAAAAGTGTAGTTAACTCATTTGTGAATCTCTAACTGAAATTTACTGTAAAAGATAATAATTATCTTGTATGAAATTTTTGATGAATACCCATAATATCTTGATGCGGTCCTGTAATGTCTCCTGCGCCTAAACACTCACTCACGAGCAATATGCGTGTATTTGTTTGGGTTTAGTTTCTTTCTTCAGCGCCTAGAGAGTAGATGCATGCGCACTGAGCGGGTTGGCAGTGTTGCCGCTGTCCTTTTTTAAAGTTACAGATTTTTTATGAGACGTTTACTTCATACCACCTTTTCAAAGACAGCTCGAGTCGTCTGGTGGGGGGGGGGGGGGTAATTACCCTCTTCACCCCCCCGTGGGAGCGCCAGTGATTGGTGAACTATAATAATGTTCTAATAAATATTTTATGTGTACCTCGGATATTTACATACTTTAGATATGTGAACAACAAGCCTGAGTTCTACCACATTTACACCAGCACGGGTGTTGTGTATGTGTGTTTTCTACAATATGTTAACTTAATAATAGCTGATGGACACTGGTTGTGAACTCGCTTTGTAGTTGTTTGTGTTGCCTAAACGTCATGAGGCTTCAGTTATCAATGTTTGGCTCTGATGTGATGTAAAATCTGCTTCAGAGATGGTCTAAGCTGTAAGTTGTGTACTATAGCTAGAAGGAAACGGCAATGCATAGGTGCATAGTGAGGATTTGTATGCTAATAATGTGTTGATGATAATTCGATTAGATTCTTGTCTTAAATACATTTACTTGAGATTTAAAGCTAAAAATCAGTTTCTCTTATTCATTCTGAAAATTACATAAGCAAATTTGCTGAATTTCAAAAATGAGAGAGATAAGAAAAGAAATCGCTTGATAGTGATGGAACAGGTGAGAAAATATGCTACAGACAGGAATATTTATGAAAGTGAAAAGGCTTTTCTGCGAGTGATTTTACTTTCCTCAGTCTGTAGACTTTGATTTGATATACGAAAGGAAAAGAGATCTTGATGATAGATTTCCCTGTAATCCCTTGCTCTCATTTGATCTCGAAATCCTGGAAACACGGCACGTGCTGATTGAGTTTGCTTGATATGTTGCGCAATACACGTCAATAATATGCGTTTTCTAAAGTACGGAAGAACGTTTGATTTGATAAGCCATACACGTGAAATGCTAAAATAATATTGTTAAACGAGTTGTAAACAGAGCCCCGTCAAGTAACTCCACGATGATTTCGAATGTGTCTATACAGGGTGACAGGTAAATAGGTGTAAAACATTTTAGGTGTTAGTACAGCCCCTTTGCTATCGAAATTAGTATATAATTCCATACCCTATATTCAAAGGTTGAAAAGTTATTGAAGATTTAAGATTTTTTTAAAAACAATCCATATTTCAGAGTAAAAAAGTCGAGCGAGAAAAAGGTTGGCGATTAAACATTTGTTTTTTGTGGTTTTGGGTTATTATTTCAATAATTAACTATTATAAATTAAAAAAGATTCGAAAACAATACCAAACAACGTATTTATTTTCATTCAAAAATGTTTAACTAAGAAAAACGAATAACGTTTTACAGTAAGTAAGGTGTTTTAAAAAAAATCAGTATACAAAAAAACGTACAAACAATTTAAATAATATCCTTGTTTCATAAGGAATCTAAATTGGTATGATAAGTGCACAAAAACTGTGTGAAACTAAGCATAATGTATTGTAATACAACAATAGGGAGTAAATTTACCAATGGCTTGTCTCCTATTTTCACAACTCTCTGATTGATAAGAAAGTGTTTTTGTGAAAATAATGTAACTAAGCTATGGGATAGTTATTATTTTAAACTATGGTTAAGTTACACGATTAGATTATTTACACAGCTGTAATTGTACTACAGAATAATAAAAACTGACTAAAAGTGACTACAATTGGTAAGTAAAATACAATAATGAAATGAAGGTAAAATTCATTGCAATTGTTGTTCGAACTGACGCCCGCCGTTTCTTATGCAAGCCCGTAGTCTTTTTCTCATGTTAGTATGCGTGATGCGGCCAGTTAGTTGTCCTCTGATAGTGTCAGCAGCAGCAATAATTCTTTCTTTCAACTGTGCAGGAGTGTCTATGGGCTCAGCGTACACCAGTGACTTCATGTGCCCCCATAAATAATAGTCACACCGTGTTAAATCTGGACTCCTCGCTGGCCACGGTGTCGGTCAACCTGGGCCAATCCAGCGACAACGATATTTCGCGTCCAGACACTGTCTAACACCCAGACCATCGAGTTGGTAGATCATCTGCATCCTGATATTCAGAGGCAGGTCTTCGAGATACTCCCAGAGTTCGGATCTCAAAAAGTTTTCATATGATTCGCCATTCAGGTTGTCAGGCAAAAAAACTGGTCCAATTAGATACGTATGAATGATTCCCATCCGCACGTTTGCCGAAAATCTTCTTTGATGGGCTCTTGGCTTTGCCATGTGGGGACTTGCCTCTCGTGGGGCCCAATAATGTAAGTTGTGATAATTTGTTGTCCCCTCGCTGTCGTCGGTCCACAATATTTTAGTTAAATAGTCGTTTTCTTCTTGATCCCGATGAAGCATGTATCGACAAAAATCAATTCTTCCTGCGGGATCTCCTTCTTCTTATACTACGGTGTGTAATGGAAAGGGTAAAGTCTCGCCGAATGCAAAACGAACCAAACTTTCCACTGAGTTAAACCAAGCTGCTTTGCTATAACTCGTATAGACGTCGTCGGGTCTCTGCCGTAGCATTCCAGTATTGCCTCTCGATCGTCGTCGTCAAACAACCGAGGTCTACCAGCATCATGACGTCTCTCATGAACCTGTCCACTTTCCTTGACGCGTTGGTACACAGAAGCAAATACTCGATGACTCGGTATTCGCCGATTCGGAAAACGGTTTTCGTATTCTCGCCTGGCTTCAACGGAATTTCCATCACTTAAACCATAACAAAACAGAATATCAGCGTATTCTTCGTTACGGTAACGCGCCATTATTAAAACTGATCAAAAAAGTAAAAGTACGTCCTACCGCGTTAAAGGTTGATATTCTACTAACTAACCTAAGCGTTAGTTCTCTTTCCTTGATCCGTCAGCTGTGTCAATTCATAACACACGCAGAGCTTGCTTCCGAGGAGCGACGACAGATTCCGAATACTTAAACCCGAATAACGGCACAGGGCACAAAAAATTACAAAAAGGGTCGAACCATGAAAGGCTCGGTTTACCTGCTCAGTACAATGAAATGCGCTTAGCGGTCCTTTCTAGCAAAGTAATATTGTTTTGTTAAATGGTTTACTTACTGATATGTTATTATACCATTTTAGAAACCTAATGAAACGATGAAGTTTTTGCAGTTATTTGTATATTTTCTTTATTATGATTTTTTTGAAAAAAAAGACTTCTTAATGTGAAAGTTGAAAATAAAATTTTCATTTAACATTTTAATGAAAATAAATACGTTTTCAGTAGTGTTTTCATATGTTTTTTAATTTATGAGAATTATTTATTTAAATAATAACCTGAAACCACCAAAAAAAGAATGTTTAATCACCAACCCTTTTTTATCTCAACTATTTTACTCGAATCTGGGTTGTTTTTTTAAAAAAATTACATCTTCCATAACGTTTTAACTTTTGAATATAGGTTATGGTAATATATACTAATTTTGATAGCAAATGAGCTGTACTATCACCTCCTAAAATGTTTTACACCTATTTACCTGTCATACTATCGTATGCGTATGTTTGTAGCCAACGCACTAACAATAAGCTCCTATAGACCAGAGGAATCTGGAATAATGGCGCGTTCGAACATGGAGCAACGCATTGGAACCACCATTGGCCAGAACTTGGTATGACATGCTAAATTGAAGCGAGGAAAACACGGAGAAAAACCTTATTAGGCGATAAACTGTCCTCATGGTTGTTGCACTTCGATCTCTAAGTGCTAGCTGTCTCAAATAACGATCCTGTCGCTCTGTAGTCTGTCTTTGACGTCCGGTACCTCTATCTCGTCGATTTCGGCCTTCTTGGACCCACGCTCTCATTACAGTAGCTTCGTTTCGATTCACCCGATTAGCGATTTCTCTAAAAGCAGATCCGGCTTCACGTAACCAGATTATACGACCGATCTCAATCTCGGAAAGTTGAGTGAAATTAGCGCGCCTGCAAACTCCAGGCATGATAATGCAATGAAACAACAATGAAACAAATGGAATCAACACAGAAAAATCCCTGAATGTTGAGTAAACATATTCATATTGTTCGGATCCTGATATGACAGAAAAGTCTTTACAAAAAAAGTACGGCTCGGATTGCTATGATAGCAAATATGTTTACAAGTTTTTATCAAAATTCGATAAATAATACTGGCTGTTGCATTTTATATGTCACTGTATATTATATGGTATTTTCAAGTTACAACTTCCTATAGGCAAAGGATTAACGGACAGACAGACCGACAGACAGGTAGACAAACAGACGGAAATGGGTGGCATAGTTTTTCAGGATGTCCCTGTCATTTAACATTCAAAAATACAGGGTGTCCGCAAAGTTGGGGTTTTCCTTTTCAGAAACAACTACCCTTGAAATAACAAAGGTAATGTGTAGTGAACCAAGTGACCAAGTAAAAAAAATAAAGGAAAAAGTACACACTCTCCAGTTGACGAGAAGGGCAAAGTACGTCTCTGCCCGAAATCATACCACTCCAACAGAAAATGAAATCAGCCGATGCGCTACCGAGCAGACGCAGAAACCACATTGATTGTCTTACACTTAGTGGCACATCTTCTAACAAGGAAGGCAAAATGTTGCGTAAAAAGTCTAGGTATTGCAACACGTCCAATCGATCTGGGAGAATAAATGGTCCAATGAGCATACTGTTCACCATGCCAGCCCAAACATTCACCGAAAATATTTGTTGAAAATGAGCCCGACGGACAGCGTGCGGATTTTCTACTGACCAAACATGAGTGTTGCGAAAGTTATTCACCCCATTACGCGTGAACGTAGATTCGTCTGTCACCAATATGCACTTCAAAAAGTCCGGATTATTGTCATGTTGATGCAACAACCACTCACAAAACCGCACTCTTGCTGGAAAATCGTCAGGTTGAAGGGCTTGTACACGTTGGACGTGAAACGGATACAGCCTCTCTTCACGCAGCGTTTGCCACACTTTAGTTCTTGATACTTGCACTTCTCTAGCCACGTCTCTAGTGCTTGTTGAGGGATTCTCGTCTACGCGATTACCTCTACACGCGTGACCGTAACCGTCGGTTGAAGGTTGCATACTGACCTGACACACTGACCCCGACCCAGTTCTGTTATCGGGTTGAGTCAGTGACCTTGTACCAGTCGGTGATGTCGCGGCTACAGGACGGTATTCAGATATTTTTGATGTTGCAGAGCCCTTTATCTCGGTTCCCTTAAGACATTGGTGTATATGGTACTAAGAAAAATTGCTTATGTTTTCAAGATCTACACGTCGTGTAAAGGAAAACCCCAACTTTGCGGACACCCTGTATAGTACCTCGCTTTTGAATTATTTCGCGATCACAATACGTTCTCGACAATTGGGGTGGGGGGAAAAGAATGTTTCGACTCCACATTATTTTTGCTCAATCTCCATCAATAGTCTATGAAATTATCAAATTTGGTATTTGTTGTTACAGGTACGAACCAGGCAAACATGCGAACAAAACCTGCAGATACAACAAGAATACCGGCTACGTCATCTATTCAGCGATGGGTTCTTTTTTCATACCAATGGTGGTAATGTTATACGTCTACATAAAAATATCCTGCGTGGTGGCACAACGGCACGACCAACTGGCACAGTCTGATGCCACTCATTCAAAGGTAAGTTCCACAAAGGTCGATTCACACGGTCTATTACGATAGGTCACACACTTTGTATAGTGTATAACTGCTACGCTTTCGTTCGTTGTCCGAGAGACCCAAGCCTTGACCATGCTGATGAGCAGCAAAAAAGCACGAAACAGCTGTCCGTGGTTGGCTGTCTGTGGTCATACGGACGGAAGCGGAGCATGTTTATGACATAAAGGTAAGTTTGCTTACTTTTATATGATAGATGTTCACCACGATTGATATTTTTGGAGAAGGCCTCCACTGAAAGATGTTTTCCCAGATTTTCACATAATCGGCTTAAGACCCTAGACCAGCATAGAGATGATCAAAGTTGCGATTTTGTGATCGTAGTTAAAACTGCGATTGCGATTTACCACTCACAGCGAGTGCAACCTGTGATTGCGATTTGAAATTGTGGGACTCTGTTATTTCATTATTTCCGTTCTATAAAAGGTTAATTACATTAAATTGGTCATATTTATGTTTTATGTGTTAACAACTGTTATCACAAAAAATGAAATAACATTGTATTCGTGTTATAAAGGTTAGGAGAAATGATAATACCTTTTTTTAAATCTTATAATTCCAAATTTTTAGATTTTATTAAAAATGAAAACAAATGTCTCTTATAATTATAATTTTAATTAGAAGAATGCAAAAACTAAACCCAACAGGTAATATGTTAAACTGCAAACATTTCTTTTCAAGAATTTAACAAGATTGGTTTATTTGCAGCTACAGCTACAGCTGGGTGTTTTGACTCCATGTGTCTTCTCAAATTATTTGTACTAGTCTTATATGGTATTTTGGCTGCACACATATTACATTTTGCGAAATTTTCGTCGATTTCGGATAAAAGTTCCACAAATAACTTATTTTCCTCTTTTTAAACATTGTTGAAACTGAATAAAATAATACTGGCTAGTCAAACAAAAAAACAACCTAGAGATTGAAAATAGAAACCACCAAGATATGTGGGACACTTTCGCTCAACGAGTCCTAAGCGAAACGGCTGACAATACTGTTGAAAAGAAGGTATACTGTGACCCCTCAAAGCCCTGGATCAACTCTAACATATCGAGGATGCTTTGTCACAAGAGATCTTTGTGGCAACGCTTTAGGAGGAGTGGCCATTCACAAGATTACGTGTCTCATCGATCCTTTTCTAACCTCCTATCTAGAACGTTACATAATGCCAAACATGCTTATGAACGAAAACTCGTTACCTCCAAAAATAAGACGAAGCTGTTTCGGTATCTAAGAACAAACCTGAATTCCAAAGTTTCATCACCTCAGATCCACGATGCTGACGGTTATCTCCACATGGATGCCACCGAATCTGCCAACTTACTGGCAGAGTCCTTTAGTGATGACTTCGTCGATGAGCCTAATGGAGACCTTCTACCGACCACTATCTGCCATAGGTGTCCCAACAGCCTTTGCGAAGTTGAGTTCCTGCCTGAAGATGTATTAATGCACCTGCGAAATCTGAAGACCTCTTCCTCCCCTGGTAAAGATGGGATGACGGCTGCTGTACTTAAAAACTGCGCTTCAGCACTGGCCCTACCATTAAGCTTGATATTCACATCGTCTTTTAGATCTCATACCCTACCCTCATGCTGGCTTAGTGCTTCTGTTACCCCTGTATTCAAAAAGGGCGACAAATCCTCCGCTAAAAATTATCGACCAATAAGTCTCGTTCCTATCGCCGCCAAAATAGCTGAAAGAATCATATTAGATAAGCTCCAGTCATTTCTTTTCGAAAATGACCTTATCCCTAAGAATCAGCATGGATTTCTCCCTGGTCGATCAATAATGACCAACCTTCTACTTAGATTTTTCTAGGGCTTTCGATCGCGTACCACATAGAAGGCTTCTGTTTAAGTTGGAATGTATGGGAATAAGAGGCGAGTTGTTACTGTGGATTAAGGCTTTTCTCACCGGGAGGACTTTCTCTGTGCGCGTCAGTGATAGCCAGTCTCACCTTCATCATGTAGCAAGTGGAGTTCCTCAAGGCTCTGTCTTGGGGCCAGTGCTGTTCCTTCTGTATACAAGTGACCTGCCCGCATTGATTTTCTCCACATGTTCAGCTTATGCCGACGACACCAAGATTTACAACACTGTCGTAAATTCTGCTATGCTTCAACGAGATCTTGATATTGTTTGTCAATGGTCAGTCAGTTGGCTTTTACCCTTAAATCTAACTAAGTGTTGTGTCCTTCACCTCGGGAAGACAAATCCGCGATTTACATACAAGATCTCTGACCACAACATCGAAGCAGTTTCGAGCCACACTGATCTGGGCGTTGTAGTCAACGATCGTCTTTCCTGGTCAGAGCATATTCACCACGTTACATCAAAAGCCAATAAACTTCTATATATGCTGGAGAGGTCTTTCAAAGGATCCGATGTCAACACTTGCGCCTACATTTACAAGGCATTCGTGAGGCCAATTCTTGAATTCGCTGGCCCGGTATGGGACACTGTGCTTCTGCGCGATAGAAATCTCGTCGAATCAGTACAGCGTCGGGCTACTCGTATCCCTTTTGGAGCACGAAGACAAAGCTATGAAGATCGCCTTGAATTATTCAACCTGACCTCATTCTCTGAGCGAAGACTTCGTGGCGATCTTATAGTTACGTTCAGGATACTTCATGGTTTGATGGGCACCAACCTCATGCATCTATACCGTCTGTCGTGCAGCAATCTACGCGGACACAGCTTCAAACTGCATAAGGAGCCATTTAAAACAACAGTCCGACAGTGGTTTCTTCCCAATCGCATATTCAACACCTGGAATAGTTTACCTGAAAGTGTGGTTGGTGCTACTTCAGTTAATAGCTTCAAAGTGCATTATGATAGCTGGAGGAGTGTACAAACTTTATAGCTATGAACTGTCTTTTTTTATTTTTTTCTATTTGATGTATTTGTGTTACGTGTCCGTACACTATATTTACTGCATGAGCTTATAGTACTGTGTACTCTGCTCATCTCAATTATCATAATAATAATAATAATAATAATAACAATCCTAACAATTCGTATTCGTAGTTCGCAACAGTCACAACTCACAACCATATAAAAGCAACGCCATCCGCTCCTTTTTAACCGCCAATCGCCACTCGCATGTGTCACTCCCAAAGCGATTGCCGCGATTGTACGGTACCTACCAGCTACGGAACGGGCTCGCAGGTTGCGATTGGGATTGTATAATCGCTGCGAGTAAATCGCAGTTCTCGAGTTTTTGCTCATCTCTAGACCAGCAACGAATATGTCGCCCACAAATAGAAAAAAATCAACAGGCCGAAGACGATTCAACTTTTTGAAGAAGGTCCTCCAAAGTCTAATGGGTATATTTTTAATAGAGCTGTCACGATATTGAGCTTGTCTTGTAATGAAATATGAGCGAATTCCAACGCTTCTTGAATCCTGCAAATTTGCGCACTCCAGGCGTTTAGAGATTACATCACATCCGGTTACCTGCCTTTTAACATCGTCAATTCAATGTTACACTTCGAACACATGTGTATTAAGCACCTCGAAATTCACTTTTTTGAACAATATTCCGTTAGTATGTCGTATTGATTTATGTTAGACATGTATTTTTCGACCATAGCCTAAGTCTCATAAGAACAAGATCGATCTTTCGTACATTCCCCTCCTATAATAACACGCATTTAGTGGATTTGATGTTAGGAATAATTTAAATTTGAAGATGACGATTCTCTTTTGATCTGACAAATTTTCCTGATGCTTGGAAACTATATCTCGTCAAGCCCTTGCCTAAATGTAAAAATCCATAAAGTCTCTCAGACTTAAGACCTATAACTTTGATTCCTGTTATATCTAAGATATTGGAGAAATTGATTAAACATCAGGTTATCATTATTTTTCTAATGATGATTTCTTTCCCAAGTGTCAATCTGGTTTCCGCAGTGGTTTTAGTACAGGTTTTGCAAAGGTTTTAGATGACATCATTGCTTCGCTTGATAAGGGAGATGCTCCAGCACTTGTATCATTAGATTATTCTAAGGCGTTCAATAAAATAGATCATGAGCTTTTATGTGCTAAATTGAAGTTTTTTAGTTTTTAAGACATACCTCTAATGTTTTTTGTAACATATCTTTCAAATCGTAAACAAGCAAACCTCAGGTGTCCCTCAGGGTTCAGTTTTAGGGCCTCTGTTGTACTTAATTTATACTATAGATTTGGGTAGCTCTGTGAAAAACTCTTCTAAGATGTGCTATGCCGATGATACACAGATATCAGGGTGGGGCATCGAAAAAGAAACAGACGCATTTACTGGCAGCTCAGTTTTTTTTTTTTGAAAAACGCTCAGACCCGTTGATTTTGTTTTCGAGAGGGACACAAGTTTGGCAAAAAATCACGTTAACACGTGCAGCCCCCTAAGCGGGGGTGACACCAACCCTAAAATCTTAAATGGAAAGGGGGGTCGAGTGATACCTTATTTTAAAGGTATTTCAATTCCATTTATAATGATGTAAAATACATGAGCTTCAGTTCAGTAGTTTTGAAGATTTATTGATTTAAAGCTTAAAGTAGACTTTAATAGGCACATCAGATTAGTTTTTACTACTTTCAGAAGAAATTTGACTAAAAGAATTTACTTAATAACTTCGCCCATGGTTTGTTTATTTATCATTTTGTTGTTGAAAATAGCTATTGGAGCGTTTTTTTGTGGCAAAAAAAGTTATTTCTTGAAGAAAGATAAGGAAATATCTCGTACTTATTTTAAATAGGAATTTAGTACATAGTTTGCGATTGATTTGACCAAACTTTGTTGCTAAAATAACTTGTAACGCTTTATTACATAAATTAACCATGGTATATTCTACAGCAGGAAGAGTTGAAATTATCGAAATATTTTTCGAAAATAATCAGTGCGCTAATAGAACAGCAGAAATATTTAATGAGGGACATGAGAACAGTAACGTGCATCGAAAATATGTTCTAGAACTTGTAGATAAATT